CCCCCCCCCCACCTTTTAACATTTAACGACAAGTACAAACCAGCGAATCTCGAGTACCAATTTCACAAGCTTACACAAGTAGGCAACTGGGGGGAAGGCCGAATCTTCTCAAGTTTCTCGATCAGAGTCGCGGTTAATGGAGAGTGCGTCAGATATGCGAAGTCTAGAAACGCAACAAAGGATATTAAATTCCCTGTTTGAAAGAGAAATACGGAGGGAAGCAAGTAGTGCAAGTAGGCCAGACCGCGACAGAACAATGAGCCCTAAGATTCGATCCTTTGTAGAAGACTTTTTCTTCGTCGTATACTGAAAATTTATTTATAAAATAGTCGCTTGAAATCAGCTTGTTGCAATGTTTCCAAGTGATCACTTTATTCCATTGATATTTGAATTAAATGAAATTTCATGTTTTTCTCACTGGTGTTGGGTAACTGGAATTTATTAAATGTTGTAATACTTTACCTTCTAAGCGTTACAAGCAGACTTTAATTTTCCCGTAAATGCATTATAAAATTCCACGCCAAATATCGATTATTGCAAACGCTATTAGCGATCATTAATTTAACGTAATCAATCAGTATTGCCAGTTTGCTAAAACGAGTGTATTTTCAAAAATACGAAAAATAATTTTCTCCGCTATTTTACAAACTCTCGTAAGAGACGTAAGAAACTTAATTCATCGATCAATTTTACAAAATGAATTATTCATATGAGAGTTTCTCTTTCAATAACTCTTCGGGAACGATCGTATATCACGAATATAATTACATCGTATAATGCGAAATATATTATTTATTAATAACTTTTTTCTTAGTTTTCTTAGAAGAGACTGTTCGAACTGTTAGCCAAATTTATTTATTGTTAGATCTAAGGGGTACAGTCAATCGTTGAAATTGATGCTTGGAAAAATTCACACGACGAAACGAGCATTCTTTCATCTGATTATGCATTTGTTTTTCTTCTTTTTTTTTTCGAGTTGAACCAGGTCGATGGAAGACAGAGATAGACAGACATCTGTTACAAATATCCGCGGACACGCAGCCCGCCGCCTTTACTTGCTTCCAGTAATCGCGATGTGCATGCTTAATCAATATTCAAGTATTCAACCGTTAGGGGACCGTCGACTTTATCCCCCTCATTACTAGCGATGGGTATTCGAAATGTTGAAGTTTCTCGAACTCTCACCATCTAATCCTAACATTCAATAAAAGGGAGAAAAGAAAAGGAAAATTATTTTACGCTTTTAGGGAATTTTATGCACTTTTACATAATTTCTACGTAATTTTTTGGCAATTTTACATAGTTCTTCTCAATTTTGCCTAGTTTTCCGTAATTTCAATAGTTCTACATTTTTTACAAGATTTTCGCGATCTTCTGTAAACATTCACAATTTTTCGCTCTTCAGTTTTATGTAATTTGTCCCCAGTTTCCGCAGTATCAGCAGTTTTCTCTGAAACTTTCGCAATTCGTACGTTCCTTGTTCAGTTTTAGCCTTCCATAATTTTACACACCGTTCTACATGTCTACATGCTTCGTCAACTAGCGCGATGAAGCATGAAATTCCCATCAGAGACATTAATATAAAAAAACTTCGTGATACACTTTGCACCTTTTTTTGTTTTTAAAGAAACACACGCGTTTCGCGCCTGATAAGAATTGTAAATTTTTAATTTCCGTAGCCCTTGATCACACTCGCGACGACATCCGCGCTCGAACCCATCACTACTCGATGACCCTAGGCCTTCGTCCTCTCCGTTC